TTTGTTATAAAGTCTGGTTTATATTCGATTCCTTTTTACATTTCTTGTTAATGTTTATTGGTTGACATGAACAGTTCTTTCCATAACCTTTCATACAAACTAAGCACACCAAACATGTTAGACAAGCATTCGAACGAAAATTTAAAATCGTTGACATTATAGTTAAATGATCATTATGATACAAAAATAGCTTTTATTAATTATTTTCTTATACTGATCATACAGAAATCAATAACTTATCGAATTCGGCCGAAATTATCATCGGCAAATTTTTTTAGGTGTCTCAGAATTTATGAAAACAGCTGTAAGGAAATTTTTTTCGGTTCAAATCACTAGTTGCAAATTAGTTTTCACAGAAACGAGTGGATACCACCTGGGTTACCGCGAGTAGGCAGGTAACCCAGGTTGAGTTTTGGCAACTCGGGTGAAAGCGGTCAATCTGCGGGTCAGGTCACTTGCGAGTAGTGTTTCATTAAATCTTTAATAGCTTAGTTGCGAGACTAGATCAATGAATTATACAAAAACTATGTAATATTTTTATGCCTCATCTAACAAAATTTCACACTAAATAACATTATTATTAAAGTTCTGTAAAAATTAAAATGACAAATACATAAGAACTTATAGGTTTTCGTTGGCATCACAAAACTCTGAATTTATATTGGATTAATCTCTATTATTTGATTCTATCTCATTTGCGTTGATTTAATAACCAATGATCAGTGCATTATTATAAGTTACTTGAGCTTGTAACATTTTTCTCATGATTTTTTATCCATGTAAATTTAATAGATGAGTATAAAGATTCAATTATATTTTAGAAAATGTAACACAATGAATGATAATTTTCTTTCAACTCGAGATGTAGATATGATTGTAACGAGAGTTTATATAATACTCTTTGTGCGAGGTCATCGGGTGGCTAATTTGCCACAAAACGAAATAAAAAATTTAGCAAACTTTGTGGCTCCTTTTGAATTCCATAGCTTTTATATTATGATAGATAAATCGTCATACAAAAGTGAGGATAGATCGGTCTTCGTGAAGACTGGGACCAGACAACAGGAGGGAACGTACCCAGTCCAAAGTGAATCCCACACATGGTGTTATCAATTAAAATTGAAATTATTTATATTAGTTTTAATTGATCACACCATGTGTGGGATTCACTTTGGATCAGGTACTGTACGTTCCCTCCTGTTGGGCCGGACGGTAAAAACCGATGACCGAATGATTCCTTGATTATGGGATGATGACAAATTATTTAAAAAAATAAAATATAACAAACTGAAAAAAAACCGAACTTTTATAACTCTTTCCAATCATGAGCGATAAAAATTTTTTTGCTTTAGAAGAATACTATTCTAAGCTGAGATTATTTGACTATACAAGCCACCAGTGTAGTTTCGGGGATAAGTATTCTATAGTTAAACATTTATGCATTTAATCTATAGTATTAGCTTTGCATATAAAATAAATGTATTATTTTATTTATACAGTATACTGTATGCTGTATGTTTTATAATAGCCAATAATAAATAAAAAATTTTAATGTTGAGCTTTGAAAAATTTAAAGTTGTGAGATCAATTGTGTAGCCATACCGGAATCGATTTCGCGGTGACCCGCAGGTTGACCTACCCGGGTTGCAACGCGTTCATCCCTTATTTTTCTGATGGGAAAATTCAACTAATTTGCACGCGTTCACCCTTTTTCATCTTTTTAATTTGAACGCGAGCATTTTTTTTTGCAAAATAGAGACAAAAACATGCCAACAAAAAAGGTATATAAAGGTTACATTTTTTTCTATTTACTTTTTATGCATTTTTACTTTCACACATTTACACATTTACATATTCTTATTTTAATTTTTACCGGTACATATTTTTATATACTTTATATTTTTGTTTTATTCGCTGCTTCGTCGGTTTTTCTTGACGTATCTTCGCCGTATTATCGCCGTTTACTCGTTACGCTGCCGGTTTAACAGATAAATAATTGATCTCACGTTAATGTATTAACGGGTCGCTCGACGGGGCATATGAAAAAGGTGCTGCCGCCGCTCATGAAGAAAGTGCTGCCGCTGGGACGGAAGATGATGAAGAATGTTGAAGGTTTATCAACTGAAGACAGAACTTTTTACAGCAAATCACTATAGAAAACACGATCATTCCAAATTTAATCGGCTTGAAGTTTAGTTACTGAAAAAATTTACAAATATGAAAAAGGAAAATCTGTAGAAGGTTGTCTTGAAGTTTATGGATATTAATTATATAGTTATTAAATTATAAATTATATCGATGTATTTTATTAATTTTATAATATTTATATAGTATATATATAGTATATAATAAATAAACTTGTAATCCTAATTAATAATAATGGTTTTTTTAAAATAAATTTCTATATCGACTTAGTCAGTCGGTTAATATAAAATACTGTAAATATATTTAAAAAGGACATCAGATGCTATTTACAGTTCATGAGTGTTTGGGGTCTACGAAATTACTAACAAATTTATAAAATTTACATAGACCAAAAGGGTCATTTTCTTATTTCTTTTTTTCAAGAGCGAAAGTTGTTGTTAGTACAGTTTCGAAAAGGGTTTTTATATATCAAATATATACCTAAAGTAATTGTGTAACAATTCTAAGATCACTTGTGTGCCTCTTGTCAATTTTGAGATTTACCTTCGTATACCGCACGAACTTAACGTTTTTTAATAAAGTTTTTTCCGGTTCATTTAACAAACTAAAATTATTCCTAAATTAAGAAATGTGAATAATAATATAACACTAAAAAAAAGTTCTTTTGTCTTCAACTTTCAAATATGGCTGTACACTCAAGACCAATCGTTATTAAAGAGAGAACAAACGTGACAACCGCTGGGATATTAACAGGTTTACAGAGTTTGCAGAGGAATTGAGTGGAACTAAGAGCAAGAGAAAAGGAAAAACAGAATGATAAATTAACACAATTGATAAAGGGGTTGCCAAAATGGCGTATATGATAAGTTTTTCTTTTTTTTTATGATTCACGTTGAATGCACATTTTCGTGTGATAAAGATAATTTCAAATGTAATTTCGCTCAATTCCAGGTTTCTTCATTAGTGGACTACTTAATCATGGCCTCTGAAATTTCTTTAAAAACCGTATTGTTAACTGCAAAAGGGACGTATGCACGTGATCGATGTGTGATTGTTACACCAGAGCTTAGTTTAAACTAAGTTTACAGATTGAAGAAATTCAATTCCGAAATGGAAGCTGATAGCGACGACGAAATATACTCCAGAGATTCTCAGCAAAGTTCAGACGCTGAAGCAGGTGATCCTAGTCCCTATTCGGAAGGTATTGTTTCAAAAATGTTATATTTCCCATTCATTACTTCTATACACTTATTATGTGGCATTATGCTTTAGAGGAATATGGTCTCGATGAGACTTTACAACCTTTTAGCAATGCTACCCCGTCTAGTTTGCCACCGAGTCGAAAATCGTTTGCGGAAGATTGTAAAACTTATGACATAGTTCCATTAGTAAGTTACTTTACTGCGCACTTTATTTTATTTATTACTTATTTCAAACTTTATTACATACAGGTCGCTGCTATTCACGCTTGTCACATACATTCACTTGACGCAACGAGGAATATGCGTTGGGTTTTTACTGGTGGCGAGGATGGATTTATAAGAAAATACGATTTTTTTTCTTCAATGTGTGGTAAAACTTTACTAACACAAAATCAAAAACATACACAAGTCGAATCCGTTCAAAAGGTGCGGTAGGTAAAGAAAAAAAAAAAACAGGAATTACTAACTTAATCGAATGTTTTAAATTATAATATCCACTGAATTTTTTATGTTTACATATATAGGCTGGTGTAATATCATCATATTGGGAGAATGAAGAAATACCAGTATCTCCACCAGTCACAGCCAAGCCTGGTATGCATAGATGGATGTCTTAAAAGTGATATTTCCCACTTATTATATCAAATCGTCATTTGTAGAAAAACCTGATGGTGTAACAGAAGAAGATGCCACGCAAAATGTAGAGGAACCACCATTGCCGGATTTAAAAATGTCACCTGTTTATAGTTTAGCAGTACAGTCTGAAGCCATTTGGTTATTAAGTGGTTTAGAGGTATGAACTATAACAGTCAACGAGGTTATTTATAGAGATATTTAAATTCAGACAACTCATAAACTCAACAATGAGATACCGAGATCACAAAATTCAAGCACTTTGGAATTCAGACAATTCAGTATTTTGACTCTAAAGTTGATTTTTTTAATATAAATTAATAAAATAAGGGGTATTGTACTATTGGTAACTTGTTAACTGGTTTATGGGTTGTTAGAATTTGGGTGTCATCAAGTGAAAACTGGGAAGTCTATATCTAGAATATTAAATAATCTATAATAATCTATTGTTTTGAAGTAGAGAGATATACCTCGTGCGAGATTACGAAACTATCGAACCCGCTATTTACTTATATCTCATGCGAGATAAATTATTCGACTAAGAAAAATTTTAATATATATTCTAAGATTAATTCTTATGACTCGTGCGAGATTTGTAAAATGTATTGCTAGGTTTATCTCGCATGAGATATATCTACTTCGAAGACAGAGTCATTAACAACACGAGCAATTTGACTGCGACGTTATTATTGAAGTTTTAATTCACGTATGATTTTAGAGCGGCGCTATTAATTTATTTACCGTTAGACACGAAGAAGGAAGGTGTCATCATGTTATGCGAAGACATAAACAACCTGTATCGGTTTTGAAAATAACTAGTGATGAGACGAGCTTTGTGAGTGGTTCATGGGACAAAACAATACTGGTATGTCTTTTGTATTATTTATTGTTTTGATGAACACACTTATATAAACTATGCGAATTATAGCATTGGGATCTCAATACTGGCCAAGTTGTGCGAGAGTATTCTGGTCATAGTTCCCAAATTAGTTCAATATCGTTTCGACCGATTACGCAATCATCATCATCATCTCAGGCATCAATACAAAGTTCCCCTACGTCACTTGAAACAGTGTTCGAAGAATCAGATAATGCGATTATTAATTCTAGAGACATATTACTTACTACGAGCATTGATGGCAATTGCCTTGTATGGGATAAAAGGTCGGCAAATTTGATACCGAGGAAGTTACCACTTCCAGAAAAAACGCCCCCATGGTGTTTATCAGTATGTCTATTTATTCTAATATCATATTAAAATGCTTGTCTCTTTTAGTTAATATCGTAACTGAAAAAAAAATAAATACTTGCTAAAACCGTAGGCTTGTTGGAGTGCTGATGGTAATAAAATTTACAGTGGACGGCGTAATGGAACTGGTGAGCCTTTACTATTATTATTATTATTGTTGTTATTATTCTCTACGTAGAGTAATCGTATTAACATTATAGTGGAATTCATGGCTAGTGGATGAATGGGATTTTGCTTCGGGAAAATTTATTCGTTCATTTAAAATGCCAAGTAACTCAGGTCCGGTATCTAGTGTGGCTAGCATGCCTAACGGTAAACATATCGTATGGTATGAGTCTTTTATTTTATGTTGATCAATGTTGTATTTATCACTGTAATAAATATACATATTTTTTATAAATATTGTTACAGTGCATCAACAGATAATATAAGATTATGGAACGTTGGCGACGATTCCGAGGCTATAAAATCGATTGTTCCATTTCTTATCGTTCCAGGGCATCACGGCGGAACCATATCACAAATTTGTATCCTTTTGGTATATGTATACGTGCAGGTTTAATTCATTACTAAATAATTTGATCCATAATTCAATTTATTTTAGTGATTGATCCAGATTGTCGATATATGATTACGACATCCGGAAATAGAGGATGGGAGGGGGCAAGCACTGAAACTGCACTGTTTTACGAAATTATTCCGATTATGAAATAGAAATTTGGTGGTTTTCTAATAATTAAATTACTTTCATGGACGCATAAATTTATGATTATATGTTGAAAATAACCTTATAGAACATAGCAATTACCATGCTTCATAAGGTCATTTAAAGTAATTAAGATAATTTACAGTATTTTATTTTATATAGCTTATAGTCAAGTAATTTTTGTTATTTTGTTAAAAGTTATAAAAAAAAGAATAATGAGGTTAAGTATAATTACAGTTTTTTGAACTGAAATTAATAAAAATAAGGCAGATTAATATTTTTTTTAAAAAAAATCAATATTTTATTTTTTACAACTTATTGTATATTTAATTAATTTTGAAGCTATTTTAATAATAGTATAGTTAAAAAAAAGCCAAAAATCTAAACTTTTTTTATTAATTATTAAATTATTTAAATATATTTTTTTGAATATATTACTAGAAAGTGCTATTTAAAAAATATACTAAGTAATTAAAGTTAAAAATTTTAAATAAAAATATTTAAACCTTTTAAACCTTTATATTATATAACAAAGCTAGTAGTTTCACTACTGTCTTCAGCCTATATTATTAATTAATACTATATGTACATATCTATACTAAAGCCATATTTAAATTTATCTATATCGGGAAATTTTTAAATTGGTTGGCAATCGATTGACAGATAGAAATGTTAATCCCTGCCGATTACCAGTGATACAGATTAGAATCGATTGAAACAAAGCTGCTAATAAAAATCGATTAGAATCGCTTTGATTGAAATCGATTGATATCAAAATTAAATTAAATCGATTATTTTTTAATCAATTACGCATCAATTAGCTACCAATATCAACTATTGTTGACTTTCATAATCGATGGCAATCACCTCTGCAACTGGTAATCAATATCCATTCTATTTAAAAATTTCCTAGTGTACTTAACAAGCTCTACACAATCTACCTATGTCACTTCGCCAAATACTTACGTTGCCTATGAGTCATAAGTTGAAGCTATAATAACCAAATCTACCTATGTCACTTCGCTAAATACTTTCATCGCTTATGAGTCACAAGTTTGAAACTATAATAACCAATGTTAAAATAAGCAATTTTCGGTCGTCTAAAAGTGACATTAAATTGTTTAAATTTCAATTAATAACAATTCAGAATTTATTTAATAACTATGTAGCAACGAAGATCTAATATGCATATTATATCTATTGAAAAGTTTTCAACTTATCATTAGTAACGTTAACAATGATAGCCAACTTCTTGTCGACATTGAATATTTCAAGAATGATGCGAAAATCCGAATCTCTATCGATAGACAAGTTAGCGTCCTATCTATTTTATCAAATTTCATATAGTCCACAAATATTCAGAAAGAAAATATCGGTCAGTTTGAAATGAAGGGCATAAAGAATGATTAATTGCAAAGAGTACATAATTTATAAGATCACAGAAAACAACCAAATGGTTAAAAAAAATAATAACTATTATAATGTTGAAATTCAAGTTTATTTGTATTATTCTATGCATTAGATGTGTTGTAAATTGCATTAAATATTACTTTATATTATCGCTATAATTGAAAAATAAAGTCTTAATAAAAAAAAAAAAAAGCAAAAATTCGAAAACATTTGCCGGACCATCATCCGAACCAACCCGGTACACATTTTCCAGGTGCCTAAATTACACTAAATTTACAACCCTAATCCAACAGGAGGAAACGTTGAAGTTACACAACTGATTTTTCACACGGTGTGAAACACATAAAAAAATTATTTTACAATA